CTTCATCATTTTATAGTAGCTCACCAAAATATTACAAAATTGCTATTTCAGACCTATAACTGTCCTAGAGTGTAGGTAACAGTTCTAGGGAATGTATCTCTCTAGCTTAGAAGAAAAACTTATACTGCAGGTAAGTACAAGAAGAAACTTATCAACAGTTGTAAGGATACAAAACATATTTGTAGGTTAAATCAACATAATTATTGTAAGCTGAAATTGTCAACAAGGTTTGTGGTGATTTAACATCATAACTCAGGGTCCCCCGATGTATGATTTTAATCAGGGATGATTGTGCGTCTTTCTATGCCTCTTAATTTTTGATAATACATTTCTTTCCAGTTACATGTTACTTTTTCCTTGTGGGAAAGATTGTTCTAATTAACCCGAGAATATAATTAGGCTCATGCATCAAAATTAGTCCTATTCGAGGTCCAAAAATAACACTAATTTGATGTTACGATGCTGGATATATGTGTCATCATAAATGAAAAAAAAAAATCTACACATACTTTCGTCATAAGACTGGGTAGACATAGCAGATACTGAAGTCAGTGTCACCTGACAGATTTAGTGTTAAAACTCAAATTACTTTTGAAAGCAAAATAGTCACAATGGAAAATACTGCGTAGAGGCAGAATCATTGTGTGTTTGATCAAAAAATCTGTTACCTTTTAAATAAAATATACCAGTGTTCAAATATGGTATTCAAAAAGCAGCTTGAACTGCAGAAAATATCTAATTTAAATTTATAGCTACCTCTTTTGACAAAAACAGTTGGTGTGACTCTCAGCTGAGAGTCTGGCCTATGATGACATCCTTTCAACTTAGCTCTTTTCTACATCAGTCTTCAAGAGAAAGATGCTCTGCAGAGATTAAGGCCAACTGCTGACTGGCTTTAATATGTATTCTTGCATTCAGGTAGCTTAGTTGACTTCCATATCAATGCTGTTAGTTATTTTCTATGTGGTATATATCTGAGCTTGAATAAATGCAGACCAATATGTTCACAGGTTAGAAACAATACAAATGGGGGATCCTCAACACACTTTCAAGCTAGCCAGTGAGAAAACCTTATTAATCTGTTTTAACTACTTTTTGTTGCATACATTTGCAAAAATATGTACAAACCACACTGCCTTATCAAGGCACCTCTGATTTATTGCTCTGAGTAAAATATATGTAGTACGCCCCCGTCTGTTTAAGTGTAACTAAAATTCTGCTGTTACATACTGTGAGCAGGCAAGCTTTCTATTAAAGAAAAGATATGCAATGTCTCTTCTGCAAAAAGCTACACCTACCTGCCTACTCACAGCAATCCCCAGACTCTAAACTAAGCTGTGCATGTGCAGCTAATCTTATAGTGGCCAGACCAACCACTGTGCACTGGAATGAGAAGCTCCTGCACATGCGCAGGAGTTACGTCTCTCCCGCCAACCAATGAAGATGGCAGAACACGTGCACACAAGAGAAGATGCCAGCAAAGGACTGCTGGAAAGGAGAATATTTATTCCTTTAGCTTTGCTTTAAAAGATAACCAGTGCAGTGAAGATCTGTGCATAAGACTTAGCTTATTCCCCCATTACATTCAAAGTTAGGCTCCAAGCAAACATCTGGACCAATCGCGTACCTTAGCTGTGATATGTACACAAAAAAATGTCACTGATCGTCCAGGAAACGGGCCAGAGAGAAAAAGGACGTTGGAATTGACCTCGAAATTGGCTGTGGTAGACACTACTTGGAAAGCCTGCCCGACTACAGCCAATAGGAAAGCTCGAGATGTGGTGGCTGCTGAACTTGATCTTCTTTCCACTACACGAGCTGAGAGGCTTTGCGCTGGGCAGGACATAGGTTTTATACATGCGCCAACAAACCGGGGCCAATGTTGGCCAAAAAGCTTATTTCGCTAGGTCGCATGCATAAACCTGTTCAACTCCGAATGAGGGGCAGTGGCCTTACCTTGGACCCTGTGAAGATTACTCAAGATTTGCGGATTTTTTGTCCTCTCTTTACCAAAAACCGAACACTTTTGTCGTTGAACACGCTGATAGTTTTTTTGCTGAGCTGCATCTGCCCTCTTTATCCATTGCAGCCCGTGATGCCCTGAATGCAGATATCTCTAAATCTGAACTTTAGCAAGCCATAAAATCTTTGAAGGCCTCCAAGGCTCCAGGCCCAGATGAGTTTTCTGGGCTCTACTATAAAAAATTTGCCACCGTTCTGGTTCCTCACTTGATCAATTCTTTGAAGCAGGGTTCCCGGCTTTCTTTGGAGTCTCTTCAGGGGCATATTACTATGATCCCTAAGAAATTTGAAGATGCCTTTGAACCCGCAAGCTTTTAGACCAATCTTTCTTGTTAAATGTGGACTTGAAGATTCTGGGAAAGGTTCTGAGTACTCGAATTAATAAGTATTTACTCTCACTTATTCATCGAGATCAGGTTGGCTTCGTTCCGGGACGACAAGCTGCTGATAACATCCCTAAAGTCATCCATTCATTCATTCATATTTTGTATCACCGCAGGATACTGGGGTTCCTTTAACCTCCCTGGCGGTATGATTATTTCAGATTTTTGGTGCTGAAAGCGGTACCATTTTTTTGCATGGAAATATGTATTTTTTTTTGTATTGTAGGCTGTAATTTTTAGGAAAAACTCACTGAAATCTGTCCGAACAAGAGTCTAGTAAACATCCCGGGTATGATAAAATTTGAAACACAAAATCATAAATTATAATTTAATAAATAATCATAAAAATAATATAAAAATAATAAAAAATTTAATTTTAATAATATAATCAAACCAAAAACACTGAAATGTGAAATAGAGCGCCAAGTTCGCACATTGCTGAGCTCAGTCGCAAAATCGTTTTCAGTTTCTGATGACGAATTTCCCCCACGAATCATTATCACTCAATTCTGTAAGTGGTTCTGATTTACTATCGCTGTTCTCTAGCTGATCTAAACCGCTTTTGACCTAAAGGGACACTTTTTGGACGCCATGGACATTTCTCAGTTTCCAGGCAGAAAGAACAGACAAAATGCAGGCAGGGCGCAGGACAAAGCACTCGGGACAAAATGTATGTGAAATAGGTTGAAACAGCAATGTTTTACTGTGTAAAATGAAAAAAAAAAAAAAAAATGACATTTTTTAAAATTTTTAAATTTCCCGCCGCCAGCGGCGGCGGCGCCCGTACGTCCCGACGTCACAGGGACAGGACACAGAAGCCGGATGCCGGCATCGGCCGGAGGAGATGGCCGGGGACGCTGCAGGGGACACATCGTGGGAGCGCAGGGTAAGTTAAGTGAAGAACACATGCCGGAGCAGCGCCGCATGGTATTCCCGAGTGTAGCTCGGGGTTACCGCTTTTGGTACTGAAATGTTACCCCGAGCTACACTCGGGAATACCGCCAAGGAGGTTAATCCCTGGACATTTATAAAGCGTTCGATTCGCTTTCTTAGGAGTACTTGACATATACGCTGTCTAGATGGGGGTTTAGTGACGCATTTCTGGCTTGGATCTCAGCTTTATACTCGTCCCCCTCGGCCTCTGTTAAATATGCAAGTTTCTTTTCCTCATCTTTTCCTATTTTCAGGGGCACGAGACAGGGATTGTCAGGAATGTACTCACCACTGGTGGTGGGACTCACCTGCCGTGTGGGCTGCAGTACCAGGGCTGGCCAGCGGGTGCTCTCAGCAGCCAGAAGCTCACTCCTGCAATCAAGTCATCACCTGAGTCTGATTGCAGGAGGTGTATTTAAGGAGTGGCCAGGCCTGCAGTCAGGGCCTTGGTGTATGTTTCCCATGAGCCCCTGTACCTGCACCCTGTCTGTTTCCTGCCTGATCCTGATTCTGCTTTGATCCTGACTCTGAATGAACTCTGCCTGTCCTGACCTCGGCTATTCCTGACCACTCATCCGCTCGCTCCTGGTACCCTGTTTGCCCGTTTGCTACCGACCCGGCCTTCCCGACTACGTTTGATTTGTATATATGGTTATCTGTTGGAGGTTGGGTTGTTTGCACTGTGTTATGTTTACCTTGCACTGCATTTGTGTTGTTTAGTCTTTAATAAATTGTCTTGTTTACTCTATACCTGAAGCCTGCATTTCCCTGTGTCAGTCCACACACCTCTGGTCATACCCGGAGCCCTGACATTACACCAAGGCCATTCCTGACCAGAAGTGGCTGCACAGGGAAGCCATCTTGGCTTGTTGTTGTGAAGGATGCATGCGGAGGAGGTTATATACTTGTGTCTGCTAGTCTTAGATGACAGAGAATATGCCTATCAGACTCTGCAGGAGTATGCCAGGGATCAGCTGCTAGAGTGCATATGGGTCGCTCATTCCCTAGTAGATCAGGGCACGGAGTTCTCTGAGGTGCAACCATTGATTCAGGCTTGTGTTGAGTTGGCTTCATCTAATACCCCTGAAAGCAGGAATGACTTTCTTCCACCATTCAGTACGGATCAAATAGAATCACTGGTATGATTGTTGGAGGATGATCTGGATTGCTTCTGAGAGCATTATTCAGCATGTTCACCACATGTGCTAGTGGACTGTATAAACGCAGTGCAGTCTTTTTGGTCAGACAGGCTAGGTGTAAGCTGAGTTTTGTTCAACCAATACTACAGTCCTGGTCAGACTTGTTACACCCAGCCTCAGGCAGCTTGCAACAAACCAGTCCTGCTTCTAATCATTCCTCTGCTCAAAGCTCTACTCCTACATTCCCAACAGCACCCCCAGTTACAGCCCAATATACCCTGTTATCTACCACATGTCAGTACCTTGTTCCCACTCGCTGCACCTATGCTGCCTTTAACCCTGTAAAAAAGGCAGCTGTAGCAACTATTCCCTCCTCTGTTCCATCCTCCAGCTCTTCTCTGTCTCCAGCTACTCCCTCCATTTACAGACCTGCATTTACTTGCAGTGCCCCAGTAACTAAACCCACGAAGAAGCAAAAATTCTTTCCAACCAGTACCATCCTACCAGTATCCAAACTGGTCAGCCTGCCATCTGTGAACCCACCTTCCGTTGTTCAGCCTGATGCCCTGATGCCTGATGACCCAGTGTACGCTACCCAGCCTGATGACCCGATCCGGCCTGATGACCCGATCCAGCCTGATGACCCGGTGTTCGTGATCCAGCCTGATGACCCGATCCAGCCTGATGATCCTACCCAGCCTGATGATCCTACCCAGCCTGATGACCCGATCCAGCCTGATGATCCTACCCAGCCTGATGATCCTATCCAGCTTGATGACTCGGTGCCCGCTGTCGTGCCAGATGACTCGGTGCCCGCTGTCGAGCTTGGTGACTCAGTGCCCGCTGTCGTGCCAGATGACTCGGTGCCCGCTGTCGTGCCAGATGACTCGGTGCCCGTTGTCCTGCCAGATGACTCGGTGCCTGCTGTCGAGCTTGATGACCTGATGCCCGCTGTCGTGCCAGATGACTCAGTTCCCGCTGTAGTGCCAGATGACTCGGAGCCCGCTGTCTTGCCTGATGCCTCGGTGCCCGCTGCCTTGCCTGATGGCCCGGTGCCCGCTGCCCAGCCTGATGTGCCTCTGCCTGCTGCCCAGCCTGATGTGCCTCTGCCTGCTGCCCAGCCTGATGTGCCTCTGTCCGCTGCCCAGCCTGATGTGCCTCTGTCCGCTGCCCAGCCTGATGTGCCTCTGTCCGCTGCCCAGCCTGATGTGCCTCTGTCCGCTGCCCAGCCTGATGTGCCAGCCCCTAATATGCAGCCATTTACCTGACCCGGGTGGTGGAACATTTTGCCCACTAAAGACTGTTTGGAGCGTCCTGAGGTCGCTCCTTGAGGGGGGGGGGTACTGTCAGGAATGGACTCACCACTGGTGGTGGGATTCACCTGCTGTGTGGGCTGCAGTACCAGGGCTGGCCAGCGGGTGCTCTCAGCAGCCAGAAGCTCACTCCTGCAATCAAGTCATCACCTGAGGCTGATTGCAGGAGGTGTATTTAAGGAGTGGCCAGGCCTGCAGTCAGGGCCTTGGTGTATGTTTCCCATGAGCCCCTGTACCTGCATCCTGTCTGCTTCCTGCCTGATCCTGATTCTGCTTTGATCCTGACTCTGAACGAACTCCGCCTGTCCTGACCTCGGCTATTCCTGACCACTCTTCCACTTGCTCCTGGTACCCTGTTTGCCCGTTTGCTACCGACTCGGCATGCCCGACTACATTTGATTTGTATATATGGTTATCTGTTGGAGGTTGGGTTGTTTGCACTGTGTTGTTTACCTTGCACTGCGTTTGTGTTGTTTAGTCTTTAATAAATTGTCTTGTTTACTCGATACCTGAAGCCTGCGTTTCCCTGTGTCAGTCCACACACCTCTGGTCATACCCGGACACCTGACAGGGATGCCCATTATCACCTGCTCTTTTTGTTCTCGCCCTTGAACCTTTAGCTGCAGCCATTCAAAATCACCCGGATATTTTTGGTGTCCCCTATGCCAGCACTCAATATAAGGCCAACTTTTATGCGGATGATGCTCGTTTGGTTTTAACCAATCCTCTCATCACTCTCCCCAATCTCCGGGTCATATTTGACCATTTTTCGACTATATCTGGCCTTCACATCAATTTGTCTAAAACCACGACATTGAATATTACGCTCCCTGCTGACCTGGTTGAACGGTTGCAGACACAATTTCCCTACCATTGGGCATCCCATTCTCTGGCTTATCTTGGCGTTACACTTACTTTCTCCTACTCTGCTTTATTTTCGGCGAATTATTACCCCTTACTGCGCTCTGTTACTTCCCTGCTTCATTCTTGGCAATTTCCTTCTTTATCTTGGATTGGCCGGATAAATACTGTCAAGATGACTATCTTGTCGAAGATTTTGTACTTTTTCCGCACTCTCCCTATTCAGGTCCCTGCGTCTTTTCTTCGTGTACTTCAAAGCCGGATTCTCTGTTTCATTTGGGCTCATAAACGTCCCAGAGTGCCTAGAGCCACTCTGTATACTCATAGATTACAGGGAGGTTTGGGAGTTCCACATATTTCTAGATACTGCTTGGCGGCTCAGATTTCCCAGCTGTCTATGTTTCATGCCAAGACAGATATCCCGTTATGGGTACTCCTGGAATTACCCAACTGTGCTCCACTTTCTTTAACTGCATTGCTTTGGCTCCCGCCTAAGATGCATCCTCTGGATTTGAGCCCTATCATGCTTCACAGTTTACGAACCTGGGATTCTGTTAAATATTCGGGTAATTTGATATCATCGTATTTACCTCTTTTGCAGATTACACATAATCCTCTATTTCCACCAGGCCTAGAGCATCTTCTTTCTCTTGGTGGACCTCCCATGGCTTTGTCATTGTACATGATTTCATGAGTGTTCGTACGTTTCCATCATGGGAATCTCTTCAAGAGGCAAGGGGGGTCCCGCCACAGGAATATTATTGGTATTTGCAGTTGCGCCACTGGGTTTTATCCCTCCATCGTACCTCGACATATCCTTACCGCAAAACGCCCTTTGCACATGTCTGTCAGCATTCCCCAGGGTCCCTGGTCTCATTTCTGTAATTTATGCCTCTCCTAACAGTAGGTCCTCCTCATCACCCGTGTCTTATGTATCTCATTGGGAGTGAGATCTGGGTGTCTCGATTGCGGCGGAGGAGTGGCGTAGGGCCTGGGGGATGGTGGCGAAATGTTCATTCAATACAGTCACTCTTGAGGCAGCCTATAAAGTTCTCCTGCAGTGGTACTGGGTCCCGGCTCGGACTGCTCACTTTAATCCAACTGGCGGAGAGAGGTGTTTCCGGAACTGTGGTCTAAGCGGGGACTTCCTGCACATTTGGTGGTCGGGCCCACGATTGATAGGCTTCTGGTCCAGGGTTTTTGGTTTGCTACAAACGCCATTTCATATTACTGTCCATAGGGATGCAAAGGTGGCCCTCCTGCATTGCCCAATTTTGGGTCTGTCTAGGTCTCAGCAGAAATTGGCATCCTATCTTTTTATTTCGGCCCAAACGTGCTATAGTTCAAGCTTGGAGAACCCCTTCGGTTGTCTTCCAGGGGGTGAAGACCCGGATGAATGCTATGCTGTTCAATGAACAGATGTCTAGCATTCTTCATGATTCTCATCCGAGATTCCTTAAGGTTTGAGAACCTTGGATACGTTATTCCTTGCCATCCCTGCCTCCTACTAGTTATGGCCTCCTATAGTCACTGCCTATGCTAGCCCCGGATCCGTGATCCTTCTAGTTTCCCTTCTTTCATGTTTTCTTTCTGATTCCCTTTTGTTTTATTTTCTTTTTTTTTTCATCTAACCTTTTTTCTTTTCTCTTTTTTTTTCCCAATATTATGTTGGATTACTGCTGCTGATTGGTTCGGCTTTTTACCGTCCCTTCTTGATGTCATTGGACATTTCATTATTTGACTAATACAAGTCAGCAGGATGTCTCTGTTTATGTGTTATTGTTGTGCTCTGCCCCTGCGAGGGCATATTTTGAGCTTGTTATATTCTTAAAACAAAATTCTCTCTAATAAAAATATTATTATTATACTGTCTTTATATAGAGCTAAAAGGTTTGCTCAGCGCTGTACATTATAGTGGGGGATAGAACATGAGACAATACAGTAACAAAACAAAAAACACGAGGGGGTCAAGGGCCCTGCTCTTTCGAGCTTACAATCTAGGAGGGAGGGGATAGTGGTACAGGAGGAAGTGGCTGTGGGGGATGGAGTAGTAGGAGGAGGGGAGGAGATCGGCTGTTAGGTGAGGGCGCGGTAGGCTTCCCTGAAGAGATGGGTCTTCAGGGTGCGCCTAAAGGTGAGGAGGGTAGGTGACAGTCTGATGGATTTGGGTAGTGAGTTCCAGAGGATGGAACAGAAAAAATGTCACTGAAGTATACTTTTGTACTGAAGGAGTACCTTCTGTCTCCCTATTTGCTGCTCCCCTGCTGCTTTTGTCAGCAATTTCCAGCTGCCAAATTAACAGCCGGGACTTGCTGTGTAAATACAGCAGCTGGTTATTGCCACAGTTGTAAATATGTGTTCATACAGTAGATAAAAATTACCATCTGATACTTTTTATTGTTACTTTGAATTTACTCTGCTTCTTTAACCTGTGGGTCAAAGGGATAAGTTTCCATCTGCATGTCAGTTAAAGCAACCTTAAAGTATACTAAAGGCAAAACTTTTGCTTTAGTTTTGGATAGAGTGCAGAGGGATTAGAATACTGTCAGTTTTTATTGCGGTTTGTGCTCCGGTTAAGAAGATTCACCCTCTCTATTTGTTCTGTTTACCATTATCATAGAAAATGAAAATAAAAGAAAATACCAAATTTTGAGTTGTCCCCAGAAAAATAATAGAGGGGAAATCTTCTAAGAGGGACACTAGTTCTGGTGACCAGGGGGTCCCTGAGGAATTCCCTTAAATTTTTTTTTCCTTTTTGCTACAGGACAAGAAGTGAAGGTAAATATCTGCAATGGGACACAGATAGTGCAAAAAAAAATCTGACAGGGGTTATAACCCTCCCTTACTCTATCCAAAATGAAAAAGAAGTTTTGCCTATAGTAAATTCTAATCAATGCTAATTTATGCTGGATGCTCTGGGTGGGTGAATATGTAAACAGTGCAGAACCCGCCACAAGGTAAGACAGGGTTAAACATAGAAAGAGGGGGTGGGAAGATGAACATACACTTTTAAGTAGTGGATGTGTATTAATTATTTTTAGAGAATATGGATATTAAGTGTCACTTTAAGGTTTTAACTTTTTCATTTTTATTTGTTTTGCTCTTTAGTGTAGAATTTGGGGAAAACCCCTTTATATCATATGTAATTATCTTTGTGATACCAGAAAAATAAATTTAGTGTAATTAGAATGGGACAAATTAGAGAATAAAAGACTTTTCAACTACAGTAGTATTGTCCATAGACTTAATAGAAAATAAAATTTTTGCAAACCAATATCACCAAAATAAAGCTTTGTTAGTCCTAAAAATATATGTTTCCCTCTGTTATCTTATGTAATGAGAAAATTATTGCTGAATAAACAGGCCTTTAGCAGAAATGCAAATATTGCTCTGGTCCATAAGGGTGCATTCACACTTGCCAATGCACCTGAAGTCTGATTACATGCGATTTCCCACAGATAGCTGTGAGAGGCAGTCCCACTGAAAGCAATGGGAAGTTGCTGGCCCCTACAGCTAATCTGGCTCACTTGCAAGTAATCTCTCATGCAGTAATCACATGTAAGTGATCGGCACTGTTAAAATGTCAAATTGCACATCAGTGTGTTCAGGTGCCATTCTTCTCAATGACAGTTGTAAAAGCAAGGCGATTCTGCCGCAATTTTCACGTGACAAATTGTGCTGCAATTCCGCAAAAAAATTGGGCGATGCATGTTGCCCAAAAGAAGTTCCAAAATTTTGGTTTTGCTTGATTGCAGTGCATTTTGTCATGCAAAAATCACCCCGAGACGTTAGGTGCCATTGAAATGAATGGCACCTGAACACACTGATTTGACATTTTAACAGCGTGTTTTGAAATCGCGGGCAGAATCATGTTAACGGAGCTTAAAGGTTTTCTGGTCCCAGCCTGTGACGGCACAATGAAGGAGCAGCAGTGCACTGATGAAGTCATCCCTTTGTTGTTCCCTTCTGTATGCATGTTTGTATAAAGCAATAGAGCTCTGGCAAGCTCAGAGTGCTATCCTTCCATCTCAAAACCTGCTGCTGCGCAGAGGATTATAGGAGGCTGGTATCCATACAGATCTGGATATATGCTACAATGTAGTTCTATTTAAATATATATTATATGGCCAAAAGTTTGTGGAT